CTCAGGGGGGGGGGGGAGTTTAACCCCCCTCCCTGGCCCCAGCCCCCAGCCAGGATTTGTTCCCCTGCTTCTCTGCTGGAGAAGACAGCACAGCATAGCCCAGGGCTGGAAAGCATGCTGGGAAGCCGAGGGACTGTGATTTAATTTAAACCAGGAAAGGGTCTGGGACAGAAGTTTCATAAACTACTTTGACCCAAATCGATTAAGTCTGATACTTACTACATTCAGCTAGGTTTAGTTTCGGCCATTTTGAAACTGGTTTATGTGCACTGAGTTTCTGTTCTGTTACAGGTTTAAACCAGTTTCTGATTGTTTAAACCAGTTTATGTGCAATGTCTGCCCCTAGCCCTGGAGTTTATTCCAAGCTTTGCCACTGATACACAGCATAACCTTGGGCAAGTCACTTATTCACCCAGCCCTTCTGTTTCCCCATCAGAAAACAATGTGGCTAATGATACTGGTGCAAAGGGCTACATGTTAATCACTATTGTTATGCCTTATCAGCCAGAGCCTTGGTATGTTCCTGGGGACACCCTCTCAAACCAGCCTGTCTCTTGCTCCCCATTCAAGTCCTTCCTAAAAATCACTAGTGCTCTGTACCAAGGGGGACATTACCAGAGCTCCAAGAGCTCTCCTGAGTAATCCCATGTCCCTGTGGCTATATATGTCAGACCTTCTCCTATCATCAGCCCCTGCTCGTTCAACTGTAATTTACTACCTCCCCCTCAAAATATTTGAACCCAGGACTTCAGCCTTGGCAGCACACACAGACCTTAGCCACTTACCTTCAGCCATTCCCACTATCTGCAGCCTGGTGGTAGGACAATGACATGTGTAGGCATACACCAAGCCAGAGGCAAATGAAGTTCAAGTGGCCAAAGAAGTCCCTACACTTCCAGGTTAGCTTGCCCAGCTGATGCTGAAGCCCCTGCTACCACAGTTATTCATGTTCTGGTTATCTGTTCCTGTCTTGTTAGATTACATCAGTGGTTCTTGTACTACTTAGGCTCAAGGACCCCTTGGAAAATGCCAGCTCTTTGCTTTCACTTGTGCTTTAACTACAGAAAAATAATAGAGCTGTTCCTTTGTTGTAGAGAAATTTTGACTTTGTGGATTCTAAGTTTATCTTATACATCATGTGCAACTGTTTGCACACCTCACAGTGTTAATATTATACAACATCGCACAACACCCTTAACAGGCTCTCATGTTATTGTAGAGTGCCATAGCACCTCAGTTGAGAATCATGGGACTACAGCTAGCCTGTATATGTCTATCTGTATCACAGATCTGGCTGGTCTAACTATAATTAGTAGGCACAGTTCCAGGCAGCTACCCAGGCATATGTTACGTGTCCCCCCAGGTCAGACTTAGTTTTCCCTCCTTGGCTTGGCTTTTGGGGTGTATTTCAGAGCAGCTCAATCCCTACCCTATTTTGAGCCCCTCTGAACAATAACACAGTCAATAGACCAGGATGGTTAATGCCAGCTAGGGACTGTAAGCTCTGACCTTCACACACATTCACACAGGGATTTAGATTGCTCAATGTGACTTTGCTCTTGCCTGGAGCAGAGGTTACTGTCTGGGAAACCACATGTAGCTCCGCCTGTGCCTGTGACATGTGTTTTAGGTAAGCACCACCTTCTCTGGGAGAGCCCTACCCAGCTCAACAGACAGAGCTCACACCCCCTGTAGTAGTGACAGGGAGCAGGGTAGGAGGCAGCTGCAAGTTTGGCTGGTTCCTTCCTTCCCAATAAGTATCTAAAGGATTTACTGAAAGCCAGCTAAGGAAGGAACTGCCAGCCAGCACCGTTTCACACTGAGGCATCTGTTGGCACCGGGAAGTCACGATGAACTCTCTCTTCAGGAAAAGAAACAAAGGGAAATACAGCCCCACCATGCAAAAGAAGACGTGAGTACTGCTGTGCACTTTCATTCTAGGATGCTTTCACAACCAGACTCTCTCTCCCCGAGTGGGGAAGGTGCAGATTACAGGGTAAATAAATAGCTAGTCTCTAGCTGTTCCTTGGAGAGGTGCTAATGCAGGGAAGGAGTACAACAAAGCAGAGCAGTAGCTGTGTGACCAGAGCGAGAACAGGTGCCGTGCCAGGCAGCTGAAAGGTACAAAGCAATGTTTTTACAGGGCACAGCATGGGAGAAAGAGAGCAGGTTGCAGCACATGCAGCTTCTCTGAAGTTGCTCAGGGTAGGACCTGTTTCCTGACTCTTCCTGACTTTAAACAAAATAATTCACTTGCTGGAATTGTTAACACATTCCAGAATTATTTAAACTCTTCAGGGCGTGGCGCCTCTTCCTCCCCCTGCCATCCAAGCATGCAGTTTATTGACTTCTCCAAGAACTGGCCAATTCCAAGGCAGAATAACATGTCTCGATGTGTCCAGTTTAAAACAGCAACCTATGTTGATTTGATAAACAGGAATTAATGGATTCCATGCACAAGGAATCTCTGCCAAGTGGGAAACACCCACTGGGAGCCAGTGCCAGTGCTAGCAACGGTACTCATGAAATCAAGAGGTAGGACAACTAAAGCACCAAGAGGTGCTACCTGGACCAAGGGCTGCTATCATCATGTAGCCCCACCAGCAGAGATTTAAGGCCCAACGCTGTAAAGGACTGATTGGTTTCAAGTTCCTGTTGATTTCAAAAGAACCTGAAGGTATTCAGCAGTGAACAAGATCAGGCCCCATCTACTCATGGCAGAGAGTCTGCCAGCAGCTTCTTTTAGCAGCAAGCTCTCCTTGCGTCACTAGCCTGCTGTGTGGTAACCCTGCGTGCCTACTTCCCAAGGATGGGTCATCTATCTACAGGAGGCTTGGGCAAGTTGCCAAAAAATGCAGCTGGGGTGGGGTCAGTACAACAAGCTAAATTCAGCAGGCACTTGTGAATAAGCTTTTGGCCAAGAGAAAAGGGAGACAATTTTCAGGAGTAAAAAAGAAAGGTGAAATATAACATTTCTGAAACAGAACATCCCAATGCCTCAGTTTATTTATTTTTGTTTTGTTTAGAAAACTGCTAAAATGTAATAAAAGTGGTAAAGAGCCAGGAAGAAAATGGGTTGGCCCCAAGCCCTCTTAGTACAGTATTTGGTTCAAAATACTGGCCCAGCTGTGATCTCAATGGCAAGGGCAGGTATGCTGTTGGAGGGCACTCAGTCTCTGGGCAGCTGCCAACCTGTTTCTGACTAACATTATCAGGGATGGACCCTGCTGAGTGAGGGAAAGAAGGAGGTTATTTGGAAGTGCAGATAAGACAAACTGCCCATTGCCTGGCTATGGAGAGACTGGCCTGGCCTCGCCTACACTGTGGTGTCTGCCCAATGCTCTGTGAGGTCTGCTTAGTAATCCCTCTCCCCCTTAGGCCCTTTTTTGTTTCTCAGTGGTTACAGGCATCATCCCATCTTCCCTGGTACTGAGGCCCACAGCAGTGGGAAGGCCTCTGGGCATGTACATGTAGGGTCAAGAGGTGACGTTGCACCCTCTGCCATCCTGCACCTTGCCCACCCTCTAGAACATCCCATGCTATAGAAGCCACCTGTCCTCTGCTCCTGTACCTGCACAGCCTCTACCCCACCTACCACAACTCCCTCTCCCACTCCTGAATCCCTTCCCCCACCATGTAATCTCTTTTCTCCAGGTACCCTCCCTCTAATTTTCAGCCTGCCAAAGAGCTCTGCTGGGCTTTCTTTTCTTTCTTGCATTGCCGGGCACATTCAGCATTTCCATGCTAGCAGAAGAGTCCATTCCTGAGCATGCCTTATAGCCCTCCAGAGAGACTGCAAGCAAAGTTAAATGGAAACTGTTTTGCTCTATTGTTATTTGGAAAAGTGACTGTTCTTGGAACCTTTGCAGCCTCCCCAGTGACTGCCTGGTGAGATGCAACAAGCCTATGGCTGGGGAGTGATTTCTTTTTTAAAGAGTCTGTTCTCCATCTAGGGTGGAGTCTTGGAACAGCCCCCATGTCTGTGCTTGCTCAAGCCTCATGCATTACCTGAACCGCACACCCCGCTTCAAAAGGAATAGGCAGGAACCAGCTGAGAGGTACCCTGTCTCAGCAGCTTGAGTTACCTTTCTTCAGGAGGCCTGATAATGACTGTCAGCAGGAGGTGGGCAGTCCCACATAGTCACAGCTGGCCAGGTGTGGTTACATTGCAACAGCCAACTGAAAAAATGAATGGAGGCAGAGCCAACCCAAAGAAAGGGGTGTAAGGTCCATCTTAGATTGGAGTCAGATGACACTCTTGGCTAACTACTCCCATTCACACTGAGGAAGCAATAATTAGAAATGCAGGGAGAGATATTTGCGCTTACTGCTGGCTTGCATGCACAGACAGTGCCAGCAAAGAGGGCACGCACAGAAGGGACCACATGGTCCCTGATGGAAATTGCTGCCTTTACATTCCACATGGGGATACTAGCTGCTGTGAGGAAATGAGGCAGCTTCACAGCTCCCAATTAGAGAGAAATGCTCTCCCTTCATTTTGTTTTTCTCTAGAATTTTTGTTACATGAGCTGCCTTTGTCCTCAAAGATGAAAAACTCACCTGGGGAAGTTTTGATTAGAACAAGGCATGTAGACAGCATGGTTAGGCCAAGTGAGTTTATGAAGGAGATGAGAACTGGTTGGGACTGGACAGGAGATAGACTTAAAATAAGACACTGAGTTGTTCATGGGGATAGCACACCCTACAGTTAATAGGGCAGTCACAATTGGCAAGCTAACCATCCAACCAAAGAGGGACTAAATCCTTTCTTCCTAGACCAGTCCCTTTTCTGTAGGTGTTGGTAGCTTTGTGGCATTATTCCTTTCTGTTGTTATTGTGTTTTGTGTTTGACAGAAGTTCCCTTGATAGAAGCTTCACAGTAGGGCTGATAAGAAGAGTTAAGTTTTCTTTCTGAGTGCAATATAAACTAAAAGCATCTTCACTTCCAGTACTTCAGGTCATGGGCTTCAAGGAGAGTCATCCCTGAATAAGCAACTCAGAATCCTTTCCTATTATTGTTCTAGCTCTGCTTATGAAACAAGTAAATGTGTTAATGCTTCACAAGGCCAAAAGGATAACAGGGTTAAGGGCAATGCATGAAAGAACAGTGCTGAAATGGAAAAGATGCTAAAATTCCCAACAGAAAAGGCTAGGCTGCCATTCAGGCTGAATGATTCATTGTAGCAAAGGGCAGGAAATCTGGATGGCATCCAGGCTTCAAACAAAATCAGCATTTGCAAGTCAGATTGAGGGATGGGTGAATTTCCAAAGGCTGGGACATTACTATTGATTCAGATGAGCACCCAAAAAGTTAACAGCTTCTCTAAACTAGCCAGCCCTCTGGAGCAGGCACACCTGGCCTGAAAAGTGAAGTCAGAGTCAAGTCGAGTCAGAGTTTCTCCTACTCCCAGGCAGGCTGGAAGTTCTGGAAGCCACGTCTGCTCTATTTCCTTCTAGTCTTCCCCCAAAACTGGGAAGTAAAGAGCCAGGAAAATAAATGTGAGGCAGGGGCTAGGGGGAGCCATGTTCATCTTTTCCCAGCTTCTGAACCTCAGTCGATCTGCAAGCGAAGGTTTTGGTCAGTTCTCATTTTGTCTTGGTTACACATCCCCACCCACTGCCTGTTTATAGCTCACAAAAGTGATGAGCTGCACATGCAACTTGCCCAGGCCTGCAGCCTGCCTCACCAGGGCCGCTGAACGCAGGCAACTAACCTGCTCACTGCTGCTTCACATCGAGAGACCTCCCTTTAGCAAAGGAGCACCACAGGCTACCGCCCTCCCAGCCCATGTATGAGCAATAGATTTAGTGATGTCCAGAAATGTCTTTCAGTAGCAGGATGAAAGTACTGTCCCTGCTGACAGCATTGGTGACAGTTAGAGACAGTGTCAGTAACTACTTCTCATCCCATTGCGAGGTTCAAGGGACTGAGAGGAGAGGGATGGGGGCTCAGCAGCTCAGTCTGGAACCAGCACCCCCTCTGGCTCAGGTTGTCGTGCAGGGATTCAGGTGTAACTCCGTCTAGCAAGCCCTTCATGAGAGAGCTGACCTACACTACACATCCCGTTCAGGCAGTGCTCAGAACAGGGAGGTCAGAGAGCAGCCTCCATTTCCCTGGGCCTCCCTGACACACTCTCCTTTGAAGGTAACACTGATTTCCTTTAAGGTGCTCAGTTTTAGTAAGCTCAACTGCACATAGTAGCTGCCAGCTGGGAGTGGCTCCCTGAGTCATCTCTGAACCCAGTTTAGCGATTGACCCCCAAGTCTTTCTTGGCTTGGACATCCAGAGAGGAACACCCCTGGGAGGAAAGCAGACAGACAACTGGGAGGCCAAGAAGCCTATACAAACAGACTGCATGCAGAAAAATAAGCTTGTGGAGATGATTCCCCACCATCACCGTGCTGTTTTGCTATACAAAGAATAAAGTATTATCCCCAAAATAGAGATGTTCAGCCCCAAAAGCAGAATCCATTCAGCAGGAGACACTGATCAACAGCTTTGATCCAGAGCTAGATCTGGAGTCCTGTGATTTGCTAACACGAAGGGGACTGAGGGGAAAGAGAGATCTAGAGTTCATTACTGTTCACTTCTCCCTGCACAGAACTTTGTCTGCAGGAAAGGCATGTGTGCTCTATTTTGAATGTGCTTTGCAGAATATCTCACAAATTAAGTCTAATTTGGGTAATTCAAGCCCATTATGATCTGTTGACAAGAACAGAACATTTCTTTTTCCAAGCAGTGTTTCTCATCATGATTAAAAAAAAAGGGAAAGAGAAACCAGAAGTGGGCTGGCTAGTAAATTGATTACCACTTCTCATTAGAAGCTCGACAGGGGACAGAACACAGGGTCCAGTCAAGCATCCACTGAAGTTTATGCAAAGACTGCCATGGACTAGAAAGTACTGGATCTT